GTTGGCGATCTTGACAACTATCTCGTTTATTAAACTTTCAAGCAAGTCTTTGCCGTTTCGTAAAATCACCAGAGTGTGCGCTGAAGCTCACAGACTCTCATCGATGCTGCGAGTCTCAGGTCATGAATAAAGTGCCATAAAGCATGTTCAAGTTATCTGGTTGAAATTTTTTAGCATCTCAAGTTTGCATGATTAAGACATTATTTTTTAGTAAAAATCTCTGTTTGGAGAAATGCATGGTTTAAATTGCATCGTTTAGGAGAATTACATCGTTTAAATTGTAACTGACAAGCTGTGGCTTATCAAATGCTTGAAAACTATTCGACTGTTAAAAATATTGGATTTCACAGCTTAGTCGTTCTGAAGTCATCACTAGGATTAACTTCTGAACTATTCAGTTGTCGGCAAATATCAAGATTTTTTCCTGATGCTGACCCTAATCTACTTTAGCTTTCGTCCACTTGCAGTCCTACTTTGTGGTCATTTTTAATAAAATTGCTTTCCAGAGCAAGGTGCTGCCAGTACGCGAATTTTATTTAAGAAAATTTACTAATGACGAAAATGATAGTGATATGATTTCACTTGTATTTCATTTGGTTTGTAATTTCCCTGGAAATCTGTTTTTTGTTACTCTTGCTCATTTTTTTTTCAATGTCTCTTTTTATTTACAATTTTTTGCTATTTGCTCTTATCGCATGAGCAGACGTTAATGGATACTGTACCGTTTCATCACCATGCTTTTCATGGTCCAGTTTTAAAACGCGTAACTTCTTTAGGTTCTTCTTACTCAGTGAATTTCTCTGGATCGTAATTCAATAAAGGTCCGCAGCTGGGTATATCTACACAACAAAACAGCACTAGTCATTTTCGAACCAGTATTTGAAAACACAGGGTACTTTAGTTCATTAAGATCCAAGTTGAACCACCTCCGATCATTTCTAATGAAGTACTAAAAATTGTGGTGAATCAACCACTTTCAGTCACCTGAATAAAATAATCGAGAGTTGAAAATAAAGCGAACAGATAATTATCGCGCTTTGGATACGGGCGCAGTTTTCAAGATGCAAAGTATGCTTTTTTGGATGGCATTTCGTTTTTATCAGCGGTGAATGTGGACTGATCTAATCGGCTCCTACCCATATCTCTACGTCACTGCATTTCTGAATGTGGCTTCACTTGATTTCAGGAGGAAGTGTTTGTTTCAGGTAGCGAGATGAGCGTGAAGGTATATGTGGGCCTCGCTACAGCAGGCAGCGTGTTTGTTATAATAATGTCGCTGGTGGCTGTCTGCGTCATCTACAACGATATTAACAATCTGTATGATGATGTAATGGATGAAATGGGCGAATTTAAGGTTCTGTCGCTTCTGTTCATCCCATGTTCTCAGGACCCAAGAAGTCGCTCACAGTTGATTTTGAGCAAGCTGTCTGGGTTCTTTGGTGAACTAGTAAACGTTTTAAGTAATTAGCCACTTTATAAGTCGCCTTTTAACAAAAAAATCATACTTTTTCGATTCGCGCGTGTGATGTTTGAAATTATTTGGTGAAGGTCTTTCGCTGCGATTTTATCATATTTGTTGAAAAAGAAAAATTATATTTCCTAAACTGCGAGTTCTTTTTTCAACAGTTTTTTTTGGCAACAAGACATTTCCATTTCAAACCGGTTTCGGAAAGAAATGCTTGCAACTGCAATAAATAAATCCCTGGACAAACAATTATTTCTGACAAAAATCTTCTTAAAAATTAAAGAAATTTTTTAATACAGGCTCACGTTGTCTAATTGTCTTCCTGGTGTGTATTAATTGGAGGCATGCAGGCTAAAACTGATGGACTTACCATAGCTACATTTAGCGTATGGAAGCATTCCAGTAATATTACTAACACTGGAGTCCATACTGCTTGTCTGAGAAGTTTTGGCATTCTTGGTAAAAAAAATCAGAAACCTATTTTTATTTGGTCGGATCCACTTTATTTCTGAACAACTCTAAATTAAGCAAAAGAATTCATAGGGGCACTACTGAAAACTTTGTGAGCGCTTCTAGCGTTCTTGCAAGCAATCATTGTGAGGATAGTTTTTTCTTTATTTTACCAAACGAAACACAAAAATATGAAAAATATAAAGAGTGAGGTTTACTCGAACGATAAATTACTTCCGTAATTCACTCCCCTATATTCAGTGTCACCCAGAATTAATCTAGACGGGTTCAGTATGACTGTTTGATATGTACCAGCACTAATTTATCGTCGGAAAAAGCGAATGAATCGAAACAAGCGGATTAGCAGAATCAAATCTTTGATTGTCAAATTGTCTCTGTAGCTGTGCCCATCAGCAAAAGTCAGCGAGATTATTAAGGAAAACACAAATTTTTGATTCACAACTTAGGTAGGAAGGCAGTGAACCCTAGCTTTGCGAAGATCATTGTTAATTTCCGTATTTCCGTAGTTGTTTGGAACAAAAAAATTTTTTTCAGATCTGAGCTAGTTTTCTGATGAAAAGTGCAATCCACTAGTCAGAGCTAGAGATTAATCCAGGGAAATGATCCAATTTTCATTCAGTGCGTCTGTAGCAATGAAATGCTAATGAAGCCGATTTTTTCAATTACACATATCTGTCTTTTCAAGGGCTTTTTAAGCAGAATTTCTAAATGACAGTAAAGTTAGGCCCAGTGATTTTGATTGAAACTGTTTTTTGCACAATTAGTTGCGTTCTTTTAGCCTCTTAAAACTTCAAAGATCATTTGTCAATATCATCAGTGATATAGAAAAACACTTCATCTAAGCTCCCTTGCCAACCTGAAAACCCTTTTACCTCCCCATAGAAAATGATGCGGAAAACATGAAGTTCAGGAATGTTTGGTGTCCACTTGCCACCTTGACAATCAATGTTATCATGGAAACTCGCAAAAAGCCAGCAAAGAAAAAATCACTACAAAAACCACCACATATACAATGTCTTGGAGAGGAAGATAAGAAAAGAATAATTGGCCAACGCACGAGCTGCCCGTGCGAAGATGCGTTTTTTACATGGTTCCCCGCAGTTTTTGCTACCGGCACCGGCTTTTTCGGTAAATGCTTCTAGCCAAACAAATTAAGACTGGCCGCCAGAACTGTCAGGAAACACCTCCTCAAAATTTCAGCTTTCTAGCTTCCGTGGCCCCTGAGTCAGCAACTTAATGGAACAAAAATTTCACGGGCCCGTGCATGTTTACCAAGCACACCTGGGAGCTGGGTTCGAGCTAAATGAAACTTAGGTGGACGGCGTATATCCTCTTAAAATTACATTCCTTTAGCTTCTCAGGTAATTGAGTTATCAATTTATACGAAAAATATTTTGGCGAGCTCGTACGCGGGTACCACGCTTACCCTCGGGCTGGGTTTGAGCCCACTAATACTCGGTTGGGCGGGGAACGTTACTGCAAGATTTCTAGCTTCTCAGATCCCCGAGTTATGAACTTACTCAAAAAAATTTTGGCGGGCTCGTACGCGGGTACCTCGCTTACCCGGGGGCTGGGTTTGAGCCCATCAATACCCGGTTGGGCGGAGAACATTATCCCAAGATTTCAGCGTTCTAGCTTCTCAGATCCTCGAGCTATGAACAGACTCCAAAAAACTTTGGCGGGCCCGTGCGCGGGTACCACGCGGGTTTTGGCGCCCACTTTGGGGATTGGGGGCGGTACGTGCATATAGATTAAGCTCCCGGAATTTCAGCCCCGCAGCTTTTATAAGTCCTGAGATGAAAGTGCGTGACAGACGCACACACAGACAC